CACCTACCATCTGAATTTAATTTGAAACCTTAAGATATTGATGTAAAACGAAGATTAAACTAAGTATAAGCAAAGTGTAAGATAGGATGAAATGAAAAACTTTATTAATCTAGAAGGAAAGTCTAGATGTTGCTCAGAAAAAAACAAAATGACATAATTAATGCAGTGCCTAATTGAGAAGCGTTTAGGGTATCAGCAAAATCCTTTCCGTCCTATGGATCAACACCTTGAGCTCTTGTTCGTGTTCCTCGACCCATTTCTGAGCAGGTTCTGCAGCATGGCAGCGATGTTGTCGTGCTGCAATTGGAGGGTGTTTGGTTTGCAGTAGGTGTTTAGGTGGATGGTACATGTCAAACCCATAAGTGCCAAAACCCAAGATTTACATTGGTTTTAACTGGTTGGTTGGACCAGTGATCCTGAACCTTAAAGCAGTATTTCTGAGTCTTACAATCTTCATATTTAATCTATGGGTGCTGTTTTTTAACCTATGCACCATCAATTAAACCTCTCACCCTGAACTTGTAGACTAAAGATCCACTTTTTCTTCTACAATCCTTAATTCTCGTCTGAAGTTTGTAGACTTGCGAGCTGAGTTCGTTTTCTGTTGAACTTTGTCATTGTTTGAAAACGTTCTACCCTTCTTGATGATTTCTAGACCCTCACTGTTACTCTGTAGATCCACATCTGCACATATTTGTCTTCAATCTTGAGAATTGTGGGCTCAAACTACAAACTTCATCTTTGTCCAGAACCCCTAAAGTCTCATCTTAGAACAGCCATCAGTTGGACGCTGAACCCCAATCTTTAGAATGTTGTCCTTTTAATCTTTAAGTTTTTGCCATAAATCTGTAGTTTGAACCTTGTTTTATCCATAAACCTGAATCTGAAGCCTTTTGTCATCATATCAGAGACTGGTTGTTACGTATGCTGTATGGTCAACGTGACATTTTATTCCCTTTTTGGATAAAAGAGAAGGAGAATATGAAGGAGATTTTTTTCGGTGCACTCTGAGGGTCATGCTTCATTTACGATGTTTTTTGTCTGTAATGACTAAAATCAGCTGCATGTTCTGACTTTCCAGCAACCTGTCCTTTTTGGGACCGCTGCCATCTTTTATTACGTGTTTCATGCCATTAACCTCGGTGTAACGACGGAGCTGGATAATTCAGGAGTCATAGAGGACGTTGGAAAAAAGCGTGACATTGGGAGGTGGAGGTTAAACTGAACGGTCTTCCTGGAGGCGGACGTGGAGCCGCTGCTGGCTCGTGGCCTTGTGATGGAGATTAGTTCAGATTTAGATCAGAGTGGATGGAGCCAGGTACAGTACGTTAAGAGCAGTCAGCTGACCGCCTCGGGGGGGAAGACACGGACTAACCTCCCGTTTTATGTGTATCGGCTGGGATCTCCATGGCAACTCTGGAGGAGAAAATAAAACCTTTTTCACAACGCCTACATGTGGCCAGAGCACATAAATAGTAACTTATTATGAACCGTTTACGGTCTTTGTGTCGTTTTCAAACTAGAACTCAGCGCTGAGGGAGAGCTGCAGGAGGTTTGGAATAGGAGGAAACATGGGTTTGTCTTTGCTGATGTTGAAACCAACAAGGAGTCGCATGTTGCAGCTGTTGAGTTTTAACAGGTTGTTTGGAATTTTGTGCAACACGATGATCAAGCCTGTTGACTTTTGTCCTCCTGAATCTGTACACTGTGGTCTGAAAACGTCATGATTTCTAGACCGTCATTACTGCTCTGTAGATCCACATCTGGAATCTGCACTTACTCATCTTTAATTTTGACAAAACTGGACTCAATTTACAAACTGAATCTTTGTCCAGAAGCTTTAAACCTCCATCTTAGAGCAGCTGACGTCTGACATGAATCTGGAAACCTCTTTCTAAACACCAGGATGCTGAACCTGAGTTTTTCGAGTTTTGTTTTGTTCTTTGGATTGTTGTCAAAAATGTGACGCTTAAACCTATCGATTAATGGGTTTTTCTTTGCTTATGTTGATGCAAGACGTAAAGAAACGCTCCTATATTGTGCAGAAAGCACCAACAAGCAGTCACAGCTGTTGAGTTTTAACAGGTTGTTTGGAATTTTGTGCAGCACAGATAAACAAGCCTGTTGACTTTTGTCCTCCTGAATCTTGGGATCTCTAAATTGTTTGAACATTTCATGACTGCTAGACCATCATTACTGCTCTGTAGTTCCACATCTGAAATCTGTGGTTATTTGTCTTTAATTCTGAGGACACTGGACTCAATTTACAAACTGAATCTTTGTCCAGAACCTATAAACTCTCATTTCTTTCTGGCATGAAACCTTTTTCTAAACACCATCGGTTGGACGCTGAACCAGAGTCTTGAGAGTTTTGTACTTTCTATCTTTGGATTATTGTCATAAATGTGTAGCTTTAACCTCGTTTTATCTATAATCTATTTAAAAATGTGTTTTTCTTTGCATATGTTGATGCAACTTAGAGAAACATTTCTGTAATAAGCAGAAATCTGTCAACTTAAAACTAGAACTCAGCGCTGAAACAGAGCTGCAGGAGGCAACTGTTTAAAATGGGTTTTTCTTTGCATATGTGGATGCAGGACGTAAAGAAACGTTCCTGTAATGAGCAGAAAGCAACCAACAAGGAGTCTGAATCTGTATCTACATGCTTTAATACATTTTTAATCTTTTGGATTAGTGTCAAAAATGTGTATCTATTGAAAAATGGGTTTTTGTGGATGCAAGATATTTTTAAAAAAACATTCGTATTATATGCAGAGAGCAACAAAAACAGGAGTCGCATGTTGCAGCTGTTGAGTTTGGACAGGTAGTGACTTCTCAGAGTACCTTTGAGAATAAAACCACCTTCCTGCCTGGTGCAGCAAAGTGCGAGGGGCTCGTCTCACCCCGCGTTGCCAAACAGACGGTGGAAAAAAATCCCCCAAAAAACGCTTGGAGTCGATCAATCCCAAGCTCCTGCGAGGCCGCCACCTGTCCCACTTAGAGAACATGCAGCCGCAACATCAACAAGCTGCAGCTGCCTCCCCGAGATTCCCCAATTAAAAGCTCCGCTGAATAAGTCATGAGGCGGTCGGCGCTGGTCGGGCCTGAACGGGCTTTACTGTGGTGTCAGCAAGAGGCCGGGACGTGAGATAATGTGCAGCAATAAGGAAGTAATAACCTGTAAACTGGGCTCACGAGGTGCAGGAGCGGTGAGTCGGAGAGGATATCTGACGCTCCGGAGCCTCGGCTGGTGGCTGTAAAGTTTGGCCTCTTCAGGAAACGGTGGGAGGGCTGATGTCTGGGTCAACAAATCAGGGCTGGAAACCAAGAAATGTTAAGGCTAAAAACTAACTTTTGTTTTAATGTGATTATAAAATATATAATTTAAGCTTTTAAACGGGAATCATCTCCAAAATTTACACTAAAACTGTGACTAAATTTAGATTTGAATAGAAAACTTGATCAGAAAACTTGACAAATATGAATAAAATGTTTTCAGTTTTCATATTTCGTGATCTTTGTTCATGAGTGGAGTTTGCTCAGTTGCCACGGAGACAGCTCAGGTGTCGTCATGGTTTTGATATGAACCAAACATTTTAACGGCCAAAAGAATTTATGACTTTATCATCGTTTGAACTTGGTCCCAGAAGTACACAGAGATTTAATCAAAGGTTCTCCGTTATGTTTTCTTGTAAACAAAAACACCAACTTATACAAAAAAATTTTAAATCCAACTTTTTGTTTTTACATCCACGTCTTTCCTGTGCAACATCTGATTTTCACTGCATAATTATCGTGGCCAAAATAATTCACAATATCAATATTATTGTAATATCTGTGGAGAATTTAAGATAAGATAAACTTTATTGATCCCTCACCGGAAATTCACGTTACAGCAGCTGGATATAAATGAATATAAGATAGAGAAGTACAATAAAGATAGGAATTAAGATATAATAAAGACGATATTCACCTTTCACATGTACTTAAGTTGATGTAGAGGATGTCTTGAAATCCCACAGTAGAGCTTGACTGCAGTTATTCATGATCCCCAGAGGATGATTCATCCTAACATCCATTCATCACTCTGTGGAGTTGTTCTCACCACAACCCAACAAAATAATTCAGTCGAATGTTTCAGCTCTTTCCTCTTGTTCAATAAATTGTGCATCTTCTAGCACTATTGTCATGAGATTTACTGAGCACATCCATGCTCCTCAGAGGATGAGCCCCCTGAGATGGAAATGAATCCAAATCAGCTGAATCAAACAATAAATTAACATTTTCGACTTCCCATGAGAGGATGTCTTGAAATCCAACAGCTCGATTTACCTTCACTGCAGGTGTTCATGATCCCCAGAGGATGGTTCACACTAACTTTTATTCATCACTTTGCAGAGTTGATCTTGTTTGTTCGCCACAAATAAACAAAATAACTCAGTCAAACTGATAGGTAACTATGTTTATTGCGTGTTTTGTATGTTGCTCCTTTGTTGGACCATGAACGTTGCTGGTGTTGGTTTATTTAGCTTCTGTATATTATTACCATGATGTCATTTTTGAACTCCTTTAATAATAGTTATTGTCAGAACTGGTACATGTTCTACATTCATGCACCAAAACCTTGCTGCAGACTTGAAAAATGTGTCTTATTTCCTTTTCCTTTTTTGCCAACAAGCTAGATTTGTAAAAAATTCAATATTCAGTCCAAATCATTAGCAGGCAACAGCCAAGTTTACCGACGACAGCCAACATTTGCTGGCATTTGGCCGCTGCCTGGTGTTATTTTCCTTATCGCAGCGCCAGTAGAGTGCAAATAAAATATGGCGGCAGGCGAAACAGTGTCTTTACAACGCGGGCGGAATAATTATTTCATTTACCCTCTGGTGCTGTCTGTAGCATCGTCGTCTCTGTGATTTTTCCTCATTAATTTTAGGGAAAACATGAGTTGAGCAACACGTCAAAGATGATCACGAAAACGTTTTTGTTTTGTTTTTTAGCTCAAGATCTCCTTCAACGAGTCGAGTCTGCACAGCACGTACGAGTATCCGTCGGAGAGCAGCGTGTGGGACAGCGGCGACGAGGACGACGACGACAAGCAAGACGGGAAGCTGTCGGACGAACAGCCGAGCATGGTGGGACGAATCCACATCCCCCGGCCCAGCTTCACTGGCTCGCCGACCCACGGCAACAACGGCAACGGTGAGACCACGAAAACACACAAAGTCACAGAACTACCAGCTGAAAATTAGCTGTTCTTTGTCCAACACTTTGGTCCCAACATCTCAACCGCTATCGGTCACTCTGGCTGTGAAATGTTCTGCTGCTATTCATGGTCCCCAGAGGAAGATGCCTCAAAACATTTAAGGTCTCCTGGACCTTTCAGCTGAAACATTAAATCTAAATTCTTTTAAAAGAAGGTATCTTTAAATCAATTGGCTCATCTCAGTCAAGCTTCACTGCAGATATTCATGGTCCCCAGAGAAAGACTCTTAAAAACTGTAACGCCTCTCAGACCTTTCAGCTGAATCAAACATTAGATCAACATTCCTACTCATCCATCAGGAAATATCTTGAAATCTAATGACTCAGCTCAGTTTTAGCTTAACTGCAGATATTCATGATCCCCAGAGGATGATTCCTAATGGGCTGAACAGAGAATAGCCACATATGACTTCCTCAATTTTCTACTGAAGCAACCATGAGGTCTTTTTTTCTCTTATTAATTAAATTCTGCATCTTCTGGTGGTATTGTAATTGAATTCACTGAGTACATTCATGTCCCTCAGATGATAAACCCTTTTCACTGTAAATGAGCTTTCCTCTGTGGCTAATGGAAATGGAAATGCATCAAACATTAATTCAAAATTTCTACCCGTCTATAACTACAACCCGCCAAAATCCAAAAATACGCACTTTGCAGTAGCATCAAACAGAGAAGAGCAGTCATTTAATGTACTGAGCACATTCATGCCCCTCAGAGGATGAACCCCTTTCCATGCTCTATAAGCTTTTCTCAATGAATGGAAATGAAACTAAATCAGCTGAATCAAACATTAACTTAAAATTTCTACTTGTCCATAACAAAATGTCTTGAACTGTAATGGCTCAGCTTAGTTTAGCTTTAGATATTCATGATCCCCAGAGGATAATTCTTAATATCCCTAACATCCATTCATCACTCTGTTGATCTTGTTTTGTTTGTGTTTTATTTTCCTCATATTATGGTGACCAGCAACCAGTCTTCCCTTTTCTTCTGGCAGCATTGTTATATTCACTGAGCACATTCAGGCCCCTCAGAGGATGAACCCTTTCCATGCTCCATGATCTTCCCTGAGTGGATAGAAAACAATCCAGATCATGTAATAAAGTGTATTTATGTCATTTGTGGAAAAGCAAAAACCACAACTTGTGTTTAAGGAGATAAATACAACAAAACACGTAATAAAATAAACTGAAAACAGACGTATGTTTTGAGAAATAATGACCCAAATGTTGATAAAGAGGTGGATCAATAGTGCATAAAACTGCATTTTAATCAGAGACTGTGAAGATTAAAGTTATTCACATCTTATTTCAGTATTAAACTGCACCCAGCGGTATTTAAATGTACATTTTTAAAAAGGGAACTCCTCCAGTTCTTTGACTGATGAAGTGAAAATCTATTTTTCTCACCGTGTTGTCAGCATTTTCCCATCACGGACAACTGATGACAAAGTAAAACGAGGACGGAGGCAGCAGTTTTGAATTAACTCGGTGTAAATGATGCAACTCCTGAAGTGTTTTATGGCTCGTATGTGCAAAAACGAAAGAAAAATGTTGGTGAAAGGTGAGAATCGGGTTGAGGAAGGAGGAATCTGTTATTTTTCAATCAGTTTACACAAGGAGGTCCGGCTCTGTCCACTTTATAACGTATCAGTCAAGCTGAGGCGGAGTCGCAGAGGTGTGGAGCCGATTTTGTTGATGTGTTCTCGTCTTTTATAGAGAGCTGAGCGATTATTTTCACAGATATCACGATGTGAGTCATGATTTTAGCAGGGATAGTCATTTTTGCGTTTCTTTTCCACTGGAAAAAAAAAAGTTAAAATGATTGATGATGTGATATTTGCCGCAGTCTGAACCAAATGAACGTGTGAAAGATGTGATTTATAGGCCGAAGCATCTCTGTAGTACCGGAATATTTCATTTATATGAGTATTTTATGACACGTTTCACCTTTTATCAAAAAGTTGCAGCTTCTGCGATTTAGGTTTTCATAATATTTCGACTGATTGTTGTCGCCGTAGCTCTTTTTCAGTGAGCTTAAAAGTTACAGCCATGGTTTCTGTTTCCCTTTCTGCATTTGTCATAGAAAATGCACATAAAAGCTGCTGGTTTTTAAAGAATATGCAGAAATGATTAAGTAGATTGAGTTAAATAAAAGCTGAATTTGAAGGGAATACGTGAAAACTTCCAGAGACTAAAAGAAGGAATCTGAGTTGTACAAAAAAAATTAAGAAAATAATAGAAAATTAGCTTTTCGGCAATTGCAAAACTGTTCGATCGGGTTGTTGCTTCTTTATTACAACAGCTTCAGGAGCTTCATTTGTATGGAACAAACATAACTGAGCAGGAAGCAATAAGTTTGACGGCAGAGACACCTGCTGGTCAAACTGGTAACTACATCTCAGGGCAACGGACTCGCAACTATGTCCTCAAAAATATTATAAATATAATATTTTAAAGTTTATATGATATTGAAAATTACTCACAAGTCTCATCAATGTGTATATTTTATTATTTAAGCAACAAACAAAGGGTAGAAAGACATTTAACGGTCCTATGATTAAAACGACTGAAGGTAATGACACAACATTGGGAACACTTGGCGGATAAAGAGGTGACCAACGTCCTGTTTCCCTGCAGATCTTTCCAGCTACATTCCCAAGCACTCGGTGGACTTCAGCGCCTGGCAGGAACACAAACACGACGACGGCGTTTACCAGGACGACACCAGCAGCTCCCAGCAGACGCAGATGACGGAGGACGTCATGGTGAGAATAAAAAAACAAAAAAACAAAAGAAACACGCCCGTTAGTCAAACTCAAAGCTGAACACACAGTTTGCGTTTCCGAGCGGAGCAGCAGATGTGGCTTGTTTTGTACAGAAAAAACAGTCACACAGTCCAAAAATAATGACAATTACAGTGACATAAATCAGAGAGAAGCAGCATTTTATACATCTGAGGTCACTTTTTAGATCTTTTTCCTTTAATTATGGACGTATTGTTGATTATATATAGTGTCTTTAATTGTGCAGCTCTAAATTGAGGCTAAACTCGCTGTTATGTTGCAGTTTTCTGTTGTTTTGTTGAACTTTGGGTGATAATTTTTCATCTAACTGGCAGCATGGACCCTTAAACTAAGGGGCCACTTTATTCAGTGCATTTGAAAACCTGAACTGTTCAGATTTGGAAGCATCACAGTATGTTCAGAGCTGTTTCTAATATTCTGTAAGAATGTAAAAGGAGATAACCGCCAGGAGTTTTGGAAAACCCAGACCTGAATCACACATTTCCGACAACGTCAGCAAAAACTGAGCAATGTGTGAGATTAGAAAAAGTAGAATTTATGGTTTTATAGGCGGCACAGGTGTGTGATTAAAGTGTGTGATTCAGCCTTAACGGTAAATGCAAGAAGGACTAAATCATTTTACATTTCCTCGTCAATCACAGCAGAACAGGAGGGCTTTAATCAACGTTTTTAGTATAATTACAGCAGGGGTGTCGAACTCTGGTCCTTGAGGGCCACAATCCTGCATGTTGTAGATGTTTCCTTCTTCCATCACACCTGATTCAAATGATCAGCTCATCATCATCAAGCTCTGCAGAAGCCTGATAACGATCCTGATCATTTGAATCAGGTGTGTTGGAAGAGGAAACATTTAAAACATGCAGGATTGTGGCCCTCGAGGACCAGAGTTCGACACCCCTGATTTACAGGGTTCCTACAAACTACAGAGTAACATTTCTGTCATTTCTAGCTCTGAATAAGCACAGAACAAACCAAAAAAAGAGCTTAGAAAGATATTGTTTCCCTATCGTTGCTCCTATTCTCTTCTCTAAAATATGAAACTCCAAATTTCTAAATAATAAACTGCCTATAGTACGCCAGCTGTGCAGCAGACTTCTTATAACTGAACCAAATCCACACATCTGAAATTAGTCTGAAAGAAAAATATTTAAACACTTTTAAACTGTGTGTATACACAGACACACAACTAACAAAATATGAACAAAATACAAACAGAGAAATAAACTGACTAGAATTTCTGCTTGAGAAAAGGCAGAACAGGCACATTGAAAATTAAGTTATGTTTTTGCAACTTACTTCTAAAAACACACAAAAAAAGTCCACAAAATATGGGAGGAACAATGACATACATCTTTAGAAATAATTATTAAACCACAACAGAATTATATCATAGAGGCTCAATAATTTAAGAATGGAAAAAAAAGTCAGAATAATTAAATAAATGTACTACATTACGTTAAAAAATATGATTTTTTGAAACTGTACAAGTAAAAAAAAAAAAAAAACTCTAAGAAGCCAGTGGCCACGCTGGTCTAGTAATCGTTTTAAAGCTGTGTATATTTACTAGTGTATATCATTTATTCACTATATTAAGGGGAAATAATATGATTGTAGGTGGCATCTGTGTTTAAATAAAAAGCTGTGCACTGAACTTACCACGGTCTTGATTTCATGATTGATTCATGAGAGCAAAAATAATCCTAGAACAGAACCTACATGTTAAAAAGTTAAGTTTCAACATGATTTATTCTCACAATGTGCAGCTCTTTGTACTCGGATGTCAAAAAATATACATAGAAGTCTGAGAAAATGTGCAGTTTTGCCACAGAGGATGTGTAGGACCCTGTAATTATGTTCTTTCTGGCTTTTATTGGTGCATCAACAACAGAGAAACCTTCTGAAGTGGAGCATACAATAGACAATAGTGGCAAAAAGTCAGAAGTACACACACAAAGAAAGATGGAAACAAAAAGTCAATGAGGAATCAAAGCCAACACACACATGATCAACAAAAAACAGCAGTAAAAGTGATGAAAACATACAGTTCAGATAAAGATGATTGCTTTTTGCTGGTGTCTGATGGTTTCCTGATCGTGTGCTTCCTCCTCAGCTCACGCCGGCCGACAGCTCCTCTCTGTCCGACTACAGCAGCGAACCGGCGCTCTACTTCTGATCGCCGCCACCCGTCAGCTGTACAGTAGCATCCCACCGGCGGGACCGGACCGGCCGCCCGGGACCCGAGCTGCCTCCACCTCCACACTCCAGCCGACCTAGAAGCACATCTTCCTGATCCGACAAAAAAAACGAAGGAAAACTTGTTTTTTTTTTTTGCTCGTTCGTTTCGTTCTCGGCTGATTTCCTGCCACGGTACCACGACTCGCCACGTTCGTCCAACCTGCATATCAAAGAGCGGAGGAGCTTCTGGACGGCCGCTCATCCACCCCTCGAGCTGAAGAAAAGCAGCTGGACTGTCTTTCCGAAACGCCCTCCGATTCCTCGACAGTTGATCTGTCTCCCGAGACGTCTTTCCTGCTTCCTTCGCGGATTCGTTTCAGGTTTTTCAGGAAGCCGCCGGTGTGGAGTTCAGCGTTGGCATGGAAACATGTTATTAGGACCAGGAAGTAGATCGACGACAAAACACAAAAACCAACAAACAAACAAAAAAACGGTGAAAGGGTGCCACATTGTAGATTTATTTCCTCTTTTTTGTTGTTGTTTTTGTACCTGCATGTTTTGATTTCGGCCTCCGTTGGTTTCCTCTTTTACTGTAAAGCTTCTGTATGCCTTTTTAGTTTTTGTACGATTTTTTTTCTGGCGAACTATGCTGTATCGAAGCTGCTGGACTTTTTTTGTTTTTTTTTTTCTTTGGTAGAAGAAGTGTTTAACGGCAAGCAAACTTCAACAACATATGCACCCGGGTGGGAGGATCTCCGTCAATCAGTAGCAGCTCTTTTTAATAAATGCTTGAAAAAAGTGACCTTGGCCAATAACGTCTGTACGTCCACGTGGCTGGTGAGGAATCATCACACTGTAGAATGTTTCTGTATATCCTCTAATCGACCTTTTTCTCTGGCTTCTCGTGTATTTATTCCTGCTTAAAGTTGAAGTTTGCATGTCTGAAACCTGCTCATGTACAAAACAAAACAAAAAATATTTCCAGATATTTTGCCGGTGTGGAAGGAATCAATTTTTTTTTTTTTGTTCGTTGTTGTTTTTCCAGTCGGACCTCATGTACTTTGACATTCCACGGAGAAGGAACTCGGTCCATTGAAGGCAAAAATGATCACGTGTTTGTGAGAACGAATGCAAGATGTGTGTGTTTGGGAGACTTGATGTAATTTCTTTTATTATTAAGGGTTTTTTTTATATATATATGCAAGAATGCACCACATTTCCAGATTTTTTTTTTATTTTTTTTTTACTCATAATGCCAACTGATTAAAGTGTTGCTGTAAAGGCCTCACATATTCCTTCTTTACACACAGGATCGACCTTTTCTCGGCCAGTATTGTTGTACAGTTTCTCATATTTTCGTAAGATTTATCGTCTTTCTTTTTAAACTTCTCCGATCAGATGAAACTTTGCTCAGAGGTTGTTGTTTTGTTTTTTTCGCTGTTAGGAGATCTTCGTCTTTGTCCGATGAATTTAGGAATTATTTGTATCGTCAGTCAGTCGGGAGTCTTTGGATGTTAAATGTCTTTGCACTGTCATGCTTTTAGCTTTGTTTTGCACCTCGCGAGGAACAACGGGCGACAGAGGAAACGTGCACTTAGAAGAACAAGGAAGCCTGGTTGAAGAGTTTCGTCTCAATTTATCGCCTCTTATCGTAAAACCACTAAGTTTGTAGACGAGGAAGGATTTCCACCCCTCGAGTTTCGAACCAGTTTTCTAGACTAACGTTTTGAAATGGAACTCTTCAGCTGCACACGACGAATGCACTGCCGATGAATGCCATGTCCACTTTTGTTGTTTTGTTTTTTTTTTTACTATTTTTGCCACAGCCTTGCGTTAAAAGTCTTATGATTGTTGGCCTTGTCACTGTGACCAAAATACAGCAGCCCAAGTGCAGTTTGTCCACACAGGTCGAGGGCTTTAACCTCTACAAGAGAAAAATCCCAACTTTTCAATTTTGATATTGTCCCTGTGACCTGATTTGTCACTTTTTGATGCATAGCGGTTTTAAAGAACTGGACATTGTTGCATGTTTTAGCTCATTTACTGCACATACTTCACATTATTGCTGAGTATTTGTAAACTGTGCTTCTGTTCTAGAAGTTTGAATGTATTTTTTAAAGCCACTGCAGACGTCCACTTATTTCAGAGACTGTATGATCATCCAATAGAATCAATTAAGAGCCTCCTGAAAGACTCTTCATGCTTAAACTTGCATCGAATTTAAACTTTTTTGGCTAAAAATTTCATCTAAAACTGGTGAAAAATGTCAATTTGCATCATAATTAGTCAAACAAATGAATGAAAAAATGGAGTTTAAAAGTCAAATCCTCCATTTTTCTTATCCAAGGCAGTTTTTTTTCTATCCAGCATCCTTTGGTTTTGCTGAATGAGGCTTGTAATCAGACAAGATTACAAATCTGATCAAGCACTATGAAGGCAATCCCAGTAAGTATTAAAAGTTCGACATGGAAGCTTTTCAGGTTCATCTAAACTAGGTTACATTATCGCACACTTGCTGCTTTCTACATTATCATAAAGTGAGGAAATGAATGAAAACCAGTGGCAGCTTGAAACAGAAGGAAAACATGCATCTGAAAACAGCACAAATGTGAAGTATGCATGATTAAGGAGCTGAGACATTTCTCGATGTTCTTTACGTTTCTAAACCAATCCCTGCTCAGACCTGCTGTGGAGTCGTGGCTAACGGTCACATGACTCGCCTCCATCTGTGGTAACCGCCGCCTTCGTTGACCAAAACTTCCCCGAAAGACGCCTCCGGCTCTTTGCGGGAACCTTTTTTTTTTCTCGCTCTCTAGTCTTTCTGAGAACCGAAGGACCAAAGAGGCAGAATGAACTGTGGGAAACTTCACTGATCGTCTTAAATGACCACCAGCATTTCTGAAGGCCATTACCGTGGACGCTGGGACGTTCCGGATGCTTCCGGAGCGTCTCTCGCCGCCAGTGTTTTTCCCATCTGTCCACTCCTGTTTGCAAAGTGAGCAGTTTGTGTGTCGGCTCTGTGGTAGAAGCTCCTTCATCCTTTACTTTCTCCCTCCTCTGTAAATCTACATCGCAGCAGATGTGCTTACTGTAAAGTTATTGTCAATGATTTTTGGGCAAGTTAAAAAAAGAGAAAAAAAAAAAGTGATGTCATACTTGTACAAATGAAGCTCAATAAATAGAAGACTTGAACAAATCTAAGTGCTGTTTATGTGTCATTCAATGCTGGAAGAACACTATTTTAGAGGATCAGACAACAGATAAATCTTAAGAAATGCATTTATTGAACAAAGAACCTTACAAATAAACAACCAAATATAATACAAATAGTCCAGAGGTGGGTATAAACTGTTACAAAGTGCCGAGTCAAGTGTGCTGCTGTGGTCAGAAGAAGAGTTCAGTGACCTTTAATCCATGCTAGTGCTCCTTCCTGCGAGGCTCTGTGGCTTTACTGAGGTTTCCTGCTTCCTGCTTCAGGACGCTCAGCAGAGACTGGGAGCTCTCCAAGATCTGGATGAGGGGATAAAGCACATTAAATATAAAGTCTAGATAGCAAGAGGCAGCGGCAGTGTGGAGTGTGCTGTAGAGGTAATTTAAAAGGGGGTGACGGTGCCGTTTGTTGTTTTTTAATCAGAGCAGCTCAGGAGTGTTTGTTTGCAGTGATTAGTGAACAAACGGGGAGTTCAGGGTCAGTGGTAGGACGGAGCACAGCCGAGAGAGAATCTCACTGACATCTACAGGACGTTCTACATCATAACAATGTCGTATCAGCAGCTCAGTCAAGCACAAGTCAGAAAAACTGAGTGCCAGCCTGAAACTGTCTTTGTTTTTGCTCCAAATTAATTTGGTGTTTGTGTTTGCTGCAGTAACTCCTTCAAGGAAAACATTCGTGCTCCCATCACTACTGTTGTAGCTTCTTCAAACAGACTCGCAGGATGTTTCAGGATAGACTTTAAGATTTTTCTGTCTGTCTTTAAGACCCTTCATGACCTTTCTTGCAGCTATGGCTCAGGGGGGAAAAAAAAATCTGATTTGTGTCACTGGATAGCAGAAAGCTAATAAACTTAACATTTTACATTAATTTACAATTTAATACAGTATGTGCGAGTGTAGCAGGTTTTCTTTTCCCTTCCCCAACACAAACTGATTAAACTGATTTAATTAAGTGGAACAACCTCTGAACAATCAAAATGTAAAAATAAAATAAAGATTTTCACATACCAACTAGGAGAGAATCCAGACTTAAACTTAGCTACAGTTGATAGCTACAATTGTCTCCAAAGCTAACTTTCATTGAAAATCCTTCATTAATATGATTAATAAAGCCCTTACTAGGACAAAGAAGTCGCCTTTTCTGACATCCTCAACTAAAGGTCTAAAAAGGGTCCCTTCATTAGTTTATTTCAGTGTTGCTGAGTGTAAATCATATTTTACAGCACAGTAGACACACACCTTGGTGTACGCAGCCTCTGTCTCTGCGATGGTTCGGTCGAAGGTGGCTCGAGCGGCGCGTCTTTGTGAGAGGCTTTTAGTGACTCGATCCAGCTTCTCTGAGAGGACTCCGATGTCGTGCTGAAGTCGTTCCTTCTCCTCTTCCTCCTGCTGGATCTGACGGTTCAGCTCATCCCGCTTCGAGCACAAATCCTCAATACCTGACGGACACAAAAAGGTTTTATTACATCGGAGCCTCTCTGGATCTGAGACACGATGCTTTGGGGGAAATATCTGACCGGGGCCTTTTGTTGCTAAGAAAAGTTTCGGCTCAGTACTCTTAATAAATTTGTTGGAGCATGTGAGAGACCATCAAGAGTGCAAATGTCACACAAGGAGGACAGTGTGAATTTGTAAAAAGGCTGACACAACTACTGAAGTCCTGGGTCAGATGTGCTGCATGATGCCCATCCTAAACTGTAGCCTTTTTATTGTCTCATTGCACTGTTTCAAATCATGATTTTGGTTACTTCAAAACTGAAAGCTGCACATTGAAGCAGTTAAATGCACATATCAATATCACATTAAGATAAATTGAGCAACAAGACTTCTGCACCACAACCTATCTTAAGCTGTTTCCCACTTAAACCCAACTGCATACAGATTCCAGCAGTTTGAACGATTTCTAACCTTTTAAACTAACTATAAATAGCCTTCAGATGTGCTCTGGTGACCTGCCATACAGCCTATCAGACTAAAAACAGATTAACCTGGACTTGACAGGTGACAAGTTCAACAGCAAGTAGCCTAAGCTGCATTTCTCCTTTATTTTTTTGAGAGGAAACAAGGAAATAAAGTAAAGCTACAGGAAATAACTACAATTTATAACTGTTAGAAGTCGTGTGGTTGCACAAGTTTGACCTGCAGAGGGTCAAAGAGTGATTTCCAGGTGATGGACAGCATAATCTGTGCAGGTTAATCAGATTGTACAGTACTATCCTGTTGGCTGGTACTTAAAAGCAGAACAGAGAAGTTCAGCATCACCAATCTGACAGACTCGATATCTGTGTGGAAAACACTAGAAAAGGGATTTGGGGAAACGTTAACGGTAAGCTTAGATACGAAGCACATTCACAAATAGGATAAATCAGAATAAAATAGATGCTAATGGGAAAAATGTACTAACAGACTAAAAACTGACTAAAATGTGAGCGATCAAGTATATTTATGGCGCAAATATTCAAGTTTTTAGCGCCTATGCTGCTAAAACAGTCTCCTACAGCGACTTATAAGCATCACAATATTTCCTGTGACTAATAATCAGTCAAATTAGTGACCGACAAATGAAAAACAAACGACTTACACTTGACCAGTTCGTTGTTGTAGGTCTGCAGCGCCGCAGCTTGTTGTGTCATTTCGGATTTTAGCTAAACCGCGGCTAACGCTGGAAGCTAGTTATCGGCTAGTTAGCTATCTTGTCTTTCTCACCGAACCGAGCCAGAGTTCGGACTTTCAGCTCAACATTCAATCGCCTCTCTTCAACAATGAGTTTTTTTTAAAAGCGCTGCTCGTACATGGCGGGTTTCCCGGACAACTGAATCGAAGCTATTACCGGGTTTCGCACCGACCTACCGGGCGGTCAGGACGCTTCTTCGCCTGCGACA